CCCTTACGAGTTGGCTTTGTCGGGTGGTAGCGGGTTTTAACAACATTTACATATTTACGCGATCTAACCCAAAAACCTCTAATATGGATGATATTGGTTGCGAAAGCCTGCTACGTGTTAAATTGTTCTTGTTCTTCTTTGTTTTCAGAAAGGTGCTCTCCCACCGTGAACCCCAATTCCGTGAACTCCGACCTCCGCCTCTCCGTCGACCTCAGGACGGTGACTCTGTCCTCCGAGCGCCACTCTTACCCCCACCACCCCGAGCGCTTTGAGAACTCCGCTCAGGCACTGTGCCGCGAGGGCTTCTCCAGCGGCGCGCACTACTGGGAGGTGGACGTGGGCGGCGCGGAGCAGTTCAGAGTGGGCGTCGCGTGCGCCACTCTGCCGCGCGGAGGGAGCGCGGAGGCGCAGGTCCTGGGCGCGGGCGCGGACTCCTGGTGCCTGTGGAGACGCGAGGGCGGCTACGCGGCGAGCCACCGCGGCCGCCACACCGCACTGGCGGCCGTGCGCCCTCCCAGGAAGATCGGCGTTCACCTGCGTTGGGAAGAGGGGCTCCTCTCGTTCTACTGCGCCGACACCAGGAGGCGGCTGCACTCATTCAATGCCACCGCCTTCCCAGGCCCTCTCTACCCCGCCCTGTGCGTGCCCAAGGGGACGCTCACCATACTTCGCCTGAGTCTACGGTTTGAGGAGGGTGAAGGAGCGACCGGTGAGGTGGGGAAGAGAAATGATGAGAGAGCAGAAGAGATTGTTCGTCAAAGTAAGGCTGGAGTAGCGAGTGATGTGGGAGAGGGTGGAGGAGAGAAGAGTCATTGGGTTGATGTTGGAGTAGAGAAGAGTGAGGTGGGGGCTAGTGGGGCAGGGAAGAGCGAGGGGTGGGAGAGCGCGAGAGTGAACCCTGACCCCGAGGCGCAGGATGGAGGAGCAGTGGTAAATGCTGCAGGGGAGAGCGGCGATGCGACAAAGGAAGATGTGGAGACTTTTACAGACAACGTGAAAAGTAAAGTTACAAAGAAGAACCTTGTTGGAAAATTCTTGAGTAAGACAGGAAGAAAGAGTGATGAGCATAGCACTAAGGCAATGAAGAGTGAGGTTGGAGAGGATGGGAGAGTGAAGGAGAGTGAAGGAGAAAAGAGCGATGTGAGTAAGAGCGGAGTCGTAGAGATCGAAGTGGAGGGTGGAGGAGCAGTAGAAAGCACTGACGGGGAGAGTGGCGATGCGAAGAAGGGAGCGGCGGCGACTTTAAAAGACAACGTCAAAAGTAAAGATAAGAAGCACCTTGTTGGGAAAGTTTTGAGCAAGGCAGGAATAAAGAGCGGTGTGCGTAGCGGTGAGGCAGTGGAGGCTGAGGTGGCGCAGGGTGCGAGAGTGAAGGAGCATGGAGGAGAGGAGAGCGGAGGAGAGAAGAGTACCGTGGTGAAGAGTGAAGAAGGGAAAGTCGACGGGTGCAAGAGTGAAGGAGAGACGAGCGATGTGAGTAAGAGTGGAGTTGTAAAGAACGAGGTGGGGGGTGAAGGAGCAGTACAAAGCACCGCTGGGGAGAGTGGGGACACGGTGAAGGGAGCCGAGGGTTCTGTAAAACACATCATAAAGGAATAACGCAGAACCTTGTTGGGAAAGTTTTGAGTAAGGCAGGAACAAAGAGCGGTGTGCGTAGCAGTGAGGGAGTGGAGAGTGAGGTGGGGCAGGATGGGAGAGCGAATGAGAGTGATGTGGAGGAGAGTGGAAGAGTGATGGAGGAGAGAATGTCGATGGCTACGACTGTCTGTTGAAATGACGACAGCTGTCTCGGAATCTTGGCACGAGTTTACGTCATCCTTTGTGTTTTACATTCGACCCTTGATTATCCGCGTGTGGAGTTTATCCAATCTGCGGATCAACCGCGCACCTGAGATTGACATGAATTAATAACTCATGGATATCCCCTTAAGCTCACGTTAATAGCCTAAAACAGTTACACCTCGTTATTCTTGGAAATGTTTATTACAAGTCACATGGTGCTTAAACCGAACAAATGTGCGCCGGTTAAGCCAAAATCACGTGGTCGCCCCGACAGTACAGCAGTTTGCATATCTTTATAAACTAGGGGCGGAGTTTGATTGGAGTGGCTCTGCTGCTGTCCAATTAGTGGGCGGAATCTTCTTCTCGAGAGTAGGAACGTCATCACTGAGCGCGTGCATCAAATCGGTCGATTGTTAGTTTTAGGCCATTGTTTGTGTTTTATTTGTATGGACTTTTGTAATTAAACAAGATCAATACATTGACTATGAATTTTAGTTTTGTGTATTCACAAACTACGTTTTGGGTGAGATCACGCAAGTATAAATGTGTCGATTTGAAGCTTTCGTGACTGCAGGAATCCATACTTGTTGGTTTTTTCGATAAAGTCACGTAGGTAGAAAAACAACAGATCATGACGTTTCGATCGCAACACAAGCAATCGTCATCAGGTGGGACAACCTACTTCAGCAGATTTTTCTTGCTGTGGTTGTCCCACCTGATGATGATTGCTTGTGTTGCGATCGAAACGTCGTGATCTGTTATTTTGCTACCTCCGTGACTTTACCGAAAGAACTAGAGTATAAATGTTCGTTAAACCCGCCACCACCCGACGCAGCCAATTAGAAAGGTTTGTCACGTAAAGAGAATATGCGTCATCTGGTCCAACCCATGTGAGACTAGGCTCTAAGGAAAGCTGTCTCGGGTGTGGACCAATCAACTTCAAGGACAGTGCATATATTACCGGAGTTGTGTTTTTTGTTTGCATTATGGCTGCAGGTATTGTGGTCTATGCAAACATGACTCCTTGTGAAAAAGGTGTCAGTTTTGTTGCCAGATAGAAGGGTTAAAAACAATTATCATTTGTGAGCTCCTCACACAATCCAGCCTGCAGGTTAAACCCAGGATGGATCGTAGGCAGGGCCAGCCTGAATCTATCTAACCCGCGAAGATGTTCCAACCAATACCAATACCCGCCATTCGCCACTAAGTGATGGTGACGTCACCACGGCGCCTGTGCCAGGCCAGGTGTATTTTGAGGCCACGTGAAGTGTCGAAGGCTCGCTGATAGGTCTTAGGACAGACCCAGGTGCCATGGGTTGACCGACTGAGATGATCAGTAGATGCACCACCAGCTGTACCCCCTACTGTGCCAACGTGTTGTATTTTAGCTCCCCGGCGCTGTGCTCATTGTTGTGAGCGTCACTCCTATGCCCTCCGTTGTTGCTGGAGGCTGACAACCACACAACCACTACCACCACGACCACCACCACCACTACACGGGGGAAGAGACGCAGCATCCTTTATTACGTCGGTACCGCCTCAACTGCGCAACCCCTGGATCCTCACGTGCGTACGGCTTGGGATAAAACGCCCCTCCCGTGGGGGCAAGCCTTTTCCCACTGCGAGGGGTAGCGTTCTTCAAACTCACCGCAATCAGCAAATCCCCAAACTCCACGGCGTTGCGGGGAGAAGTCGGAGGTGGTTTGGTTTCCGGTTCGCAATACGACACTCACCCACCCCTCCTGCTGTTTTAAGCTACCCTGCATCAACCCAACACGTTAAACGGGAGAGTATTTTGAACGTAAAATACGATTCTCGTTACCTAGTGACGAATATAACGTGTACGGTAAATGTATAGAATGAACAAAAAATTACATAGTGTATGGTTACTGTACTTAATGGGACCTCCTTTGCCAGTACAAAAACATGAGAATAGTTTTCCCCTTTTTTCTGGCAACAAAACTTAAACATTTTGCAAGGAATCATGTCTGCATTAACCACAAAACTTGTGGACAGAATGCAAACAAAAAACACACTCTGATAATATCTGTAGCATTGTATTTGAAACTGATTGGTCCACACCAGAGACAGCTTTCTTTCGAGCCTAGTCTCAAACGGTGTTAGACCAGAGAACGCCAAATGGCCTACTGTTTACCGTACTGTTTCCTGTAAAGTTACCGTGCTGTTTTCTCTACAATTACTGTCAAGTTACTGCACTGTCCACTGCAGGAAGAGAAATGGCGTGCGACTGAACCTCGCTGCCTCCTCATTGGAGGCTGGGAACGCCACGTGGCCTGGAACCCGCGATAGGAGACGAGGCAGCAGTCAAGACGGGAAGACGAGAGGCAAATCCCTTTGCCGTATAATGAATCCGCGTGTGGGCCTGCGAAATTAACATAATTTATCACCGACTCAGATTCAATGCGGCACCGTCACAGCGCTCGCAGGTGGCGGGAGAGCCTTAGTGGCGCAAACCTCCATCGTTGTCTGCGGTGCAGCCCGCCACGTTTTTGTGCGAAACTAACGTCGGTGGACGGTCGCCTCCAGAGAGAGAGAGTGTCGAGTTGTTTACTCAAGGAGGATACCCAGCCACAGCAACAACGTCAACAACAACATCAGCTGCTACATCCGCCTTTGTGACGTCACCACGGTAATGTCGCCTGGCTCCGTGCAATTTGAGGCCATCACGTGAAGCGCGCAAGGCTCGCTGCTGGCACGGGGGTCACGGGACAGACCCTGCAGGTGCCATGGGTTGACTGGCCGAGATGGATGGCAGCTGCACCATCCGTGCCCCCCTACGGTACCAGGCTAGGTGCATGAGGTCACGGGACAGACCCTGCAGGTGCCATGGGTGGATTGACTGGCAGATGCACTACCAGCTGTGCACCCAAATGCACCAAATCGCTGCCCAATCGTCGGGGCGGTCCTCGGAACCACACGCGTCACACACCCCGTGATGCATGCCCGCCCTAACCCCCCCCCCCCACTGACCCCCCTCCACCCTCTAATCCCCCCTCCACACTCCACCCGCCCGATATTTCTGGAACTTTTCTGAAAATTCACCCAACTCCTCCTACTCCGACTCCTCCTTTACCACCAAATCTCTCTCCGCCAGTCATCAGCCAATCCCAGCGCGACCCTTACTCCCCTATAAACCACCACCCCACCCCCCACTCTCCCACCCCACCCCCCACTCTCCCACCACCCCCCCACTCTCTGCGTCGTCCGTCAGTCGCTGTCCTCCCCTTCTCCCTCGTCTCCGCCCCGCTCCGCCGGGCCCCGCAGGCTGCACACGGTGATGCAGCTGCACCCGTGGAACCCGCTGAGCCTCAGGGCCGGGTGCAGGGGCTGCGTGAACCCGCCGGGCACCAGGAACGTGTGCAGCGGCACGGCGGGCCGCTCCGCGTCGTAGAACGACAGCTCCCCGGCCTCGTGGTCCAGGTAGACGCCCAGCCGGCGCAGCGGAGCCTGCTGGCCGCCGCTGCCGTCGCGCCGACTGCTGCCAACCGTCCCGGCCACGCCCCCGGTTCTGGCTCCTCCCCCGGCTCCGGCTCCTCCCCCTCGGCCGCCCATCGCCAGCTCCGCGCGCCGCTCGGCGTGCACGGCCGTATAGCTGGAGCCGGCGCGGCGCGCACACCACGAGACCTCGTTGCGGCCCAGGCCGCAGGCGTTGGCGCTGCCCTTGCGCGCGATGCTGCCGTAGGCGGCGCCCGCGCGCCAGTAGGCGGCGCGGCTCACGTCCAGCTCCCAGTAGTGGCGGCCCGGGCCGTAAGCCTGCGTGGCGAGGACCTGGGAGTTGGGTGGTAAGGAGGGTGGAGGGTGGGTGAGGTGTCGGCGGTGTCGAGATCGTCCTCTGTGGAGGAGGAGGCTCGCGATGGACGCTGCTACTGCTGGCCAATTTTCAGTTTAATTTTCAGCTTTCAGTTTCATTGATTAGGTATAACCCTGTGAGCCATGCGGCTCTTGACTCGGGTTCAACCGCAACAAACAAAAAAATGAACAAGAAACATCTTAAAGTGACTACAAATCGGAGGCAGTCGCCCTTCAGCAACAATGGAGGGCGGAGGAGCGACGCTCACAACAATGAGCGGAGCGACAGGCAGATAAAACACAGCAAGTTGGCACAGTAGGGGGCACAGCTGGTGGTGCATCTACCCGTCATCTCAGTCAGCCAATCCATGTCACCTGCTGGGTCTGTCCCGAGACCTCCTGCACCTAGCCTGGCACGGTGTTGCCCACCTGCTCCCAGTAGTCAAAGCGTCCTGAGTTGTCGGCGCAGCGCTGCTTGCGCTCCCCGCACGCCGCGCTGCGCAGGTCGGCCGAGAGCAGCAGCCTGGGGTGGGCCGTGGAGGGGTCCAGCGTGGGGGAGCGGGCATCTGGTGGGGGGAGGGGGGTGAGGGGGGGGCAAAGACAGCACGGGGAGGGATGAAATAGTCACTCCCCCCCCCCACACTCACTCCCGCACCCGCTCACCCGCTCACCCACTCACCCGCACACCCACACACCCGCACACCCGCCCACCCGCTCACCCGCCCACCCGCTCACCCGCCCACCCGCTCACCCGCCCACCTGCTCACCCGCCCACCCGCTCACCCGCCCACCCACCCACCCACTCAACCCACCCACTCAACCCACCCACTCAACCCACCCACCCCCCCACCTCGCCATCCACCCCCCACCCACCCCCCACCCACCCCCCACCCAACCCCCACCCACACTCATGGAAGGGGGGCGCGTTGGCACCCGCCGGCACGGAGATGGAGCCGAAGCTGCGGAGTCGCTCGTCCACTGCCTCCTCCAGCAGCGCCACCTTCTCAGCGCTGAGCTCACGGGACAGCGGTGGACGCTCCGTGGGGGGCTCAGCCCACAACCTGGGGGGGGGGGGGGCACGGGGAGGTGGGGGGATGGCATGGGGAGGCGGGGGTGGGTAGGGGGTGGGTATGTGTGGTTAGGGGTGGTTGAGTAGGGGTGGGTAGGTAGGGGTGGGTAGGGGTAAGTAGGGGTGGGTAGGCGTGAGTAGGGGTGGGTAGGGGTGGGTGTGGGTGAGTAGGGGTGGGTAGGGGTGGGTAGAAGTGGGTGGGTAGGGGTGGGTGGGTAGGGGTGGGTAGGGGTGGGTAGGGGTGGGTGGGTAGGGGTGGGTGGGTAGGGGTGGATAGGGGTGGGTAGGGGTGGGTGGGTAGGGGTGGGTGGGTAGGGGGTGGATATGGGTTAGTAGGGGTGCTTTGGGGTGGGTGGTTAGGGGTGGGTAGGGGTCGGTAGGGGTGGGCGGGTAGAGGTGGGTGGGTAGGGGTGGGTGCACGACAGAAGAACTCTGGACCAGTTTCAACACCCTGTGTCTCATCAGAAGCAGCAGTCAGCCTCTGCTTGAACATCAAGGCAGCGGTGACGATGATAGTGCTGGTGATGACGACGATGATGCTGATGGTACACCCTACACACGCTGCACACACTACACACTCTACACACTACACACCCTACACACACTACACACACCCTACACACTGCACACACTATACGTGTGTAGTGACACAGAATAAGTAACGTCACAGCATAGCGCTGGCTGCTGGCGAGGAAGGGGATCTGCGGCTTGCAGCAGCCCTGACGCAGCAGGTCACGTGATACACCAGAGGGGATAATCTAGGGGAAAGGTCACAGAACTGGCTGGTAGGTTCTAGAGAGGGGCGTGGTTGGAGCGGAGCATCCGGCCACGCCCCTGGGAGCATAAAAGGAGGCCCTGAGCGAGAGCTCGGGGCTGTCGTTTAGAGTGAGACCCCCATCGTGCTTTTGAAGATCGTCGCCATCGTCGCTGTCATCTCGTCGCCATCGTTGTTGTCGTCTTCACTCGATATTGCGATGCGAGACGGTGGTTGGCTTTCTTGGTTCAGCGCCGTCAGCGTCAGATGGCTCGTGTTGTGTATAGGCTCGCGACCCACGGAGAGTTGTGTAAAGAAGAGCGACAGAAGAGTGTGCACCAGCGTAGGCTGTGTCTTGTGCAAAGGGTGCTCGGTTAAATACAATATTAAAATAGAGCAATTCAAGACGTTTCGATCGCAACACAAGTGGTAGTCATCAGGCAAAGGAGTCAATCTCTAAAGGCAAACTGTTTATACAGGGAGGAACAATGTTCCACACTGCCCACCAGGGATTATTTAGCTGTCTGTCTGTCTGACTGTCTGTCTGTCTGTCGTGCATAAATAAATATATAATACACACAGCTCTTTGATTGGTGGAGACCTTACAAACAGCTCTTTGATTTTTCGATTTAAAGCTTTCGTGACTGCAGGGATTCATCTTCTTGGTTCTTTCGGTAAAGTCACGTAGTAGGGAAGTAATAAAATAATAAAAATAAAGCTAAGCTCTTTGATTGGTGGAGACCTTACAAACAGCTCTTTGATTGGTGGAGACCTACTGCCGGGTACGGAGAGGGGAGGTGCCTAAGGGAGGAGGGTCAGGGGAGAGGGGCCTGAGGGGGGGGGGAATCAGAGGAGGGGCCTAAGGGAGGGGGGGTCAGGGGAGGGGCCTAAGGATATGGGGGGTGGTCAGGGGAGGGGCCTAAGGGAAGGGGGGTCAGGGAGGGGCCTGAGGATATAAGGGGTGGCCAGGGGAGGGGCCTAAGGGAGGGGGGGGGTAAGGGGAGGTGCCTAAGCAAGGGGGAGGGGCCGATAGTTAAGGGGGCTGGCTACCTGGCTGGCTGCCTGGCTACCTCAAGTCAAGTGATCTTGTACGCAGGTAGGAACAACAGGTTCCACACTGCCCACCAGGGATTATTTGTCTGTCTGTCGTGCACGAATGCGCTGTCCAACCAAGTTCCTACCTGCCCACTCCGAAGGAACGTGTTGCAGGTTTGTGGATGGGCACAGCCCAAGGGTATCAACAACACCAGGAGCACGGGCGATGCACGAGTGCCAATGCAGCAACAATGCCAATGCAGCAGCAACATTGGCAGTGTTGCTTCATCCGCCCGTGCTTCTGGTGTTGTTGACACACTTGGGCTACGCCCATCCCCAAACCTTTATAAACAGTTTGCCTTTAGAGGCCGACTCCTTTGCCTGATGACGACCGCTTGGGTTGCGATCGAAACGTCGTGATTTGTTTTATTTCTACCTACGTGACTTTACCAAAAGAACCAAAGAGTATGGCTTCCTGCAGTCACGAAAACTTCAAATCAAGATTAAATAAATCAAGTGCCACCTTAGCGTCTCCGAGGAAGGCACTACACATGTACACAGGTGACGCACGCTACACACCCTACACATTGCACATGTGCACCACACACACCCGACACATCCTACACACGTACACACAATACACACACTACACCCCCCTGTACTCACTACACACTACACAAACTACAACCTACACACACGACAGACCCTACACCCCCCCCCCCCCCTGTAACTCACTTGTCGAAATTCGGCTTGCGGATCTGTCGACAGAAGAAAGAACAAACGGGGTGAGAGTGGTCACGAGATGCACAACTATACACTATACACTACACTATACACGACTACACACTACACTACTATACACTACACTACTATACACTACACTATACACTACACTACTATACACTACACTACTATACACTACACTATACACTACACTATACACTACACTACTATACACTACACTATACACTACACTACTATACACTACACTATATACTACATTACTATACACTACACTACTATACACTGCTATACACTATATACTACACTATACACTACACTATACTACTATACACTATACACTACACTATACACGACTATACACTCCACTACTATACACTACACTACTATACACTACACTACTATACACTACACTATACACTACACTACTATACACTACACTATACACTACACTACTATACACTACTATACACTATACACTACACTATACACTACACTATACACTACACTATACACGACTATACACTACACTACTATACACTCCACTACTATACACTCCACTACTACACACTACTATACACTACACACTACTATACACTACACTATACACTACACTATACACTACTATACACTACACACTACTATACACTACACTATACACTACACTACTATACATTACACTATACACTACTATACACTACACTATACACTACTATACACTACACACTACTATACACTACACTATACACTACACTACTATACATTACACTATACACTACGCTACTATACACTACACTACTATACACCACTACACACTACACTACACACTACAACCCCACCACCCCCCCCACCACCCCCACCTTGAGGAAGGCGAGCATCCCGTCCGCGTCCCCCACGCGCAGCAGCTCTCCCAGCCTCCCGTGTGCGTCCCTCAGGGGCCGCAGCGTGGCGCCCCGCAGCGCCTGCAGCTCGCGCTCGGCCCCCCGCAGCTCCCGCTGCAGCTCCTCGTCCAGCAGCGCCAGCACCGCCGCCTCCTCGGCACGCGCCAGGCGGCGCAGCTCCGCGTACTTGTCCCGGACGCGCTCGCGCACGCGCTCCGCAGACTCCTTGCGGTGGTGATGGGTGGGTGAGGTGGATTGGTGGGTGGGGTGGATTGGTGGGTGGGTGGGGTGGGTGGGTGGAGTGGGTGGGGTGGGTGGGGATGGGTGGGGTGTGGTGGAGTGGGTGGGGTGGGGTGGGGTGGAGTGGGTGGGGTGAGTGGGGTGGTGTGGGGTGGTGTGGGGTGGGTGGGATTGAGGTGGGGTGGAGTGGGTGGGGTGGTGTGGGGTGGGTGGAGGGTGGTGGAGTGGGGTGGGTGGAGGGTGGTGGGGTGGGGGTGGTGGGAGGTGGTGGAGGAGGAAATGGAGGGGACTGGGTGGGGTGCCAGAAGTGGGGGGAGATGGAGGAGGAGGTGGAAGAGGTGGAGGAGGTGCAGGTGTAAGTGGAGGAGATGGAGGAGGACGTAGAGGTGGAAGAGGTGGAGGAGTAGGATGAGGTGTGGGAGGAGGTGTAGGATGAGGTGTAGGAGGTGTAGGAGGAGGTGTATGTACCTGCAGGCTTGTGCAGCTGCCCTGCACGTAGTGGATGTGGCTCTCCACGCTCCTCCTGCGGTCGCCCAGCACCGTCCGGAGGTCGACAAGAGCCCTCTGTGGGAGGGGTGCGAAGCGGCGCCGTGAGGACACCCTGGGCCATGAGGATGCCCCAGGGCCTGCCCCTGGGTCGTCTCGGGGGTGGTGGAGGGTGGGTGGTGGGTGGGGGTGGGTGGGTAGGTGGGTGGGTTGGTGGGTAGGTGGTGGGGTAGGTTGGTGGGTGATTAGGTGGGTGGTGGGTTGGTGGGTGGGTGGGTGGGTAGGTGGGTGGGTAGATAGGTGGGTTGGTAGGTGGCTGGGTTGGTGGGTGGGTTGGTGGGTGGGTGGGTTGGTGGGTGGGTGGGTAGGTGGGTAGATGGGTAGATGGGTGGGTGGGTAGGTGGGTAGGTGGGTAGGGTGGGGTAGGGTTGGAGTGGTGGAGGGCCCCACCCACCCGCTGCGTGGCGAACTCCTCGTAGGCGTTGGCCACTTGGTGGCCTTGTGCGGCGCAGGCGACGGCGCAGGAGCGGCACCCCAGGAGCTGCTCGTCACAACAGAACGAGTCCAGCGGCTCCCCCGCGTGCTTCCTGCAAACGTCGTCGTCGTCGTCGTCATCATCGTCGTCGTCTTCGCTGCCTTCGAAGTCAACGCCGTTATTCAATTCGTCGCCACCACCATCACCGCCATCACCGCCATCATCGTCGCCACCGCCACCATCACCGCCACCATCGTCGCCACCATCGTCGCCACGATCGTCGCCACCAGCGTTGCCATCACCGCCAGCAGCAGCAGCTTGAACGCAAACATGAACAGTGTCAACATGAACAGTGTCAACATGAACAGTGTCAACGTGAACAAACTCCATAAGACCCCCCCTCTCTGCCTCTGATCTCTGCACCTGATTGGGTATAGTGATTGGGTTCAGACATAAAAAAAAATACACATTACAACTAATTACTCATCTATAACTGATTACTAATCATAACAACTGATTACTAATCATAACAACTGATTACTAATCATAACAACTGATTACTAATATATTATAATTACAATACCCTCCGCCTCTCCGCCTCTGATCTCTGCACCTGATTGGGTTAACTGACGATGACGTCACCCTGCTGCTGCTCTATCTATGACTGGGAGCGGGTGGAGGGCTTCACTATTCTGGCAAATCACCCGATGATGCTGGGGATGTCATTACCAGCGAAACGTCACAGTACTCAAACATTGTAAATGTTGTGGATTCACTCTTCGACACACCGGTGGGCTAAAGTAGCGAACTATTTTGCCTTTTGTCAACTGATTGGCCGTGTCGGGTAGTGGAGGGTTGCGACACATTTATAAATAACGCGGTCTAACCCAGAAACCTTTACTATGAATAATATTGGTCGCGAAAGCATACGTGTTAAACAAACTCCACTGCCATCATCACCACCACTGTTAATATCCCCACCACTACTAACAATACCACCACCAACACCTCCACCACTGTTAACATCACCAACACCACCACTACCATCACCAACACTACCATCACCACCACTGCCACCACCAACACCAACACAAACACCTCCACCACCACCACCGCCATTACCACCACCACCAATACCATCACCTCCTCTACCACCATAACCTCCACCACGACAATCACCACCACCACCTCCATGAGTAGCAGCAGTCTCGATGCGAAGGCTGTCCGCTCCGTGCTGCCGCCGTTCCTCCGCGCCACCGTTGATCACACCCCACGCCTCCGCATCTCCTCCACCACCTCCACCACCTCCACCACCTCCACGACCTCCACCAGTGGCCCCACGCCCCGCCAGTTCCTCCGTCTCCACCTCCTTCCCATCTCCCGGGTGGCCCTCGTCACCGTGCCGGGCTCCATTATCGAACTCCGCCTCCAGCTCCTGATGATCCTCCTCATAAACCTCATCCTCCTCCTCATCATCCTCCTCCTCATCATCCTCCACCTCCTCGTCCACCTCCTCCACTTCGCCATTCTCGTTCTCATGGCCTACAGTGCGGGTTGAGGCTTCGTGCCTGTCCCACGCCCCCGTCACAGAGTGGAACTCCCCATGGGGAGTGGCGGTGGTGGTGCTGGGGGCAGAATCGAGGCCTCGTCCGACTCCGACTCCTCCATCCTCTGGGTGCCCGGGCCGTCCTGAGTCCATGGCTCTCTTCTCTTCCCGCCTCTCCTCTTTTCTTCCCTCCTCTTCTCTTCCCTGCAAATGATCTCCCCACGTGGGCCGCGCAGGAGACTCGTCGGTGACTACGACACGAGGGGCCGAGACACAAGGAGGAGATTTTAATTTGACATTTATCGGATATGTAAGACCGAAGATTGCGGCTGCCAGTCGCACTGTGTGTGTTAGTGTGTGTGTTAGGTCTGTGTATGTGTGTGTTAGTGTGTGTGTGTAAGGTCAGTGTGTATGTGTTAGGTCAGTGTGTGTGTGTGTGTTAGTGTGTGTGTTAGGTCAGTGTGTGTGTTAGTGTGTGTGTTAGTGTGTGTGTTAGGTCTGTGTGTGTGTTAGTGTGTGTGTTAGGTCTGTGTATGTGTGTGTTAGTGTGTGTGTGTGTAAGGTCAGTGTTTATGTGTTAGGTCAGTGTGTATGTGTTAGGTCAGTGTGTGTGTGTTAGTGTATGTGTGTTAGTGTGTGTGTGAGGTCTGTGCGTGTGTTATTTGAGGTACTAATCAGTTACACATCTCAATTCCATCAAATACTTGATCGGGTGTCCGTTTATCATCATTCCATTTTTGCTATATTTTTTCCATTATGCTATTTAATTGTACTCAATGTAAAGCAACCGTGATCACTGAAAGCCACCGCGGGCGCATGAACAAAGCCTTCACGTGCAGCCAATGGTGGAGCCAGGATTTTCAGGAAGGGAGGGCACCCATACAGCCACGAAAAATTATATGAGTTGTTAGTAAGTAACGAGTTTCTACACTATGGGGACCTCATTTGCCAGTAAAAATATGATAATTGGTTCTTTACCCTTCTATCTGGCAACAAAACTGACACCTTTTTTGCAAGGAGTCATGTTTGCATAGACCGCAATACCTGCAGTCATAATACAAACAAAAGAACATAACTCTGATAATGTGCACTGTCCTTGAAGTTGATTGGTCCACACCCGAGACAGCTTTCCTTCGAGCCTAGTCTCATATGGGTTGGACCAGATGACGCCAAAAGGCGCACTTTTGGCGTCATCTGGTCCAACCCATATGAGACTAGGCTCGAAGGAAAGCTGTCTCGGGTGTGGACCAATCAACTTCAAGGACAGTGCACATTATCAGAGTTATGTTCTTTTGTTTGTATTATGACTGCAGGTATTGCGGTCTATGCAAACATGACTCCTTGCAAAAAAGGTGTCAGTTTTGTTGCCAGATAGAAGGGTAAAGAACCAATTATCAAGTAACGAGTTGTTTGTAAGGACTTGTTCCTTGCTTTTTATTAGACGCTCGTGTGCGGCAATGGCGCAGCCATCGATCGAGTGTCGAATTAGAACCGCGTTGTGCGATCGGCATCGCGCTCGCTGAAGGTGAATGCCTTCAGGGAAGTCGTGTCCTGTACACGCAACTGCGCACAATTCTGTGAGTCACTTATAACTGCTTTGCCGTTACTTATTGCCAATTATGGACGCAGACTATTGTCCTATCACCTCATAATCGCATTGTTTCAAATTGCGATTAATCGATTTGAAATCGTGAGTGACGTCGTCGTCGTCAGCGAGTGACGTCGTCGTCGTCAGCGAGTGACGTCGTCGTCCGCGAATGTCGTCAGCGAGTGACGTCGTCGTCGTCGTCAGCGAGTGACGTCGTCGTCGTCGTCAGCGAGTGACGTCGTCGTCGTCGTCAGCGAGTGACGTCGTCGTCCGCGAGGCAAAGCAGCGCTCGCCGCGGCATTGAGTTGCGCCCGGCAGCTGCAGGAGTCGGCTTTCCAGCAGCTGTTACGCTCGCGTACGTGGCCCGTTACAAGTTAAAAACAGAACTATAACACAGTGCTACACCAACAAAAATACGACACTCTGAAAGCTAGAGCCGAACAGCATTGTAATAATGCCTAACACTCGATGTATTCATCTTGATTTGAAGCTTTCGTGACTGCAGGAATACACACTCTTTAATTCTTTCGGAAAAGTCATGTGGGTAGAAAAATAAAACGAAATAAAAATAATTGTTCACGACGTTTCGATCGCTAATCACTACTGCAGTTATTGTGATGTGTTTATGGGTGAGGACACAGGCAGCAGAGGGGTGTGGGGAGGAGAGCACACACAACCCACTATGAGACGTTTAAAAAAAGTACGAGAGGGAAATAGACATTATTTGCCTGGATCAAAGTATGAAAAAACAATAACAGGTTTTACCCTTTCTGCCAATAAAAAAGGAGGCGTAAAGATCTCCAAACACCAAATAGAAGCCTTGTGCGAGGAATCAAGTCCGCTGCTTGTGGTGAACATGCGAGCAAAATGTGCTCTGATAATAATATATGATGCGTTGTCTTTGAAACTGATTGGTCTCCACCATTGATAGCAGCCTTCTTAGGGCCAAGCCTCACCACCTGTGGCAGTAGACAACGCCAAAAGGCGAACAGTGGAGACCAATCAGTTTCAAAGACAACGCATCATTTACCACTATCAGAGCACGTTTTGGTTTGCATGTTCACCAGTATCGTGTGCGGTTAATGCAGACACGATTCCTTGAAAAGGGTTTCTATTTATGGTTTGGACATCTTAACACCTGCTGTGTTATTACTGCCAGAAAGGGGACAACGCTGTCTTTCCGACAGACCTGTTCTTCACCTGAGGACGGCTGCTTGCGTTGTGGCCAAAACGTCGTGAGAATTGTGTGTTTTATTTTTATTATTTCCCTTCTACGTGACTTTACCGAAAGAACCAAAAAGAAGAGGGGACAACCTATTCTTATTTCTTTCAAACTTTCTAATTGGTGTGTGAACATCTTAGCACCTGCTGTGTTATTATTGCCAGGAAAGTTAAAACCCTATTCTTATCGATTTAAAGCTTTCGTGACTGCAGGGATTCATCGTCTTGGTTCTTTCGGTAAAGTCACGTGACTTTACCGAAAGAACCAAGACGACCTATTCTTATCCTTTCATACAACAGAAAGTATCAATGGCGGTGAAGACAGTGATGGGGGAACAAAAAGAAACCCTCATACAGAGCGAGGCCAGCCAAATACAGACCTTGCCTGGATGCTGGACCTCCAAGGCCTGGTGCAGCATCACAAGACGCAACGCGACACAAACAAACGAAACATCACCAACTATCACGGCTAAATGAACACCGAGAAGGCGACAGAGACGCGAGATGACCGACGTTTCGATCGCAGTAGGCTACTTCAGCAGTTTTTTTCTTGTTGTGGTCGTCCCACCTGATGACGATTGCTTGTGTTGCGATCGAAACGTCGACTTTACCGAAATAACCAAAGGGTATGGATTCCTGCAGTCACGAAAGCTTCAAATGAAGATTGGAACAGAGGTGTTCAAGCAAAGGGCGAGGCCGGCCTAGGCTACTCAGGCCTCGCCTACACACCAAGATGACAAAGCCTCACACCACCACAAGCAATTAGAGCTTGGCACAGAGGTCGCAACCGGGTACCCGATACCCGTACCCTACACCCGGCTACCCGTGGTACGGGTAGCCGTTTGCGACCCTGGTGCGGCCGGGTACAGGTACGGGTAGGCCGTCAGTCACTGGTGAGCAGAGGTCGCAACCGGGTACCCGTACCCTACCCGATACCCGGCTACCCGTACCCGGCTGGGTACGGGTAGCCGTTTGCGACCCTGGCGCGGCCGGGTACGGGTACGGGTAGACCGTGAGTCACTAGTGAGTAGCCGTTTGTCACTCATTTCGGGTAGGGTACGGGTAGGGAACGGCTACCCGTACCCGGCCGGGTACGGGTACCCATTTGCGACCCTGGTGCGGCCGGGTACGGGTAAGGAATCAAAACCCGTTTGCTACCTCTGGCTTGGCAACAACAACCACAACAACAACCACGAAAAACCCGAGACGCGTACAAGAAGATGAAGACGACGAGCAGCTACTCGCGAGACCTCCACCAAAAACAAAGCGACAGATGTGACCCCAGAAGGTGTAGAAATTGTAAGAAAATAAAAAACGTTCAGTAGCTCACTGCACCATGTCCTCTCTCAGTGTGTGTGTGTGTCAGACGCGTGTGTGTGTGTGTGTCAGACGTGTGTGTTAGGTCTGTGTGTGTTAGGTCTGTGTGTGTGTGCTAGGCGTGTGTGTGTGTGTGTTTTAGACGTGTGTGTTAGGTCTGTGTGTGTTAGGTCTGTGTGTGTTTGGCATGTGTGTGTGTGTGTTAGACGTCCAACACCAGTGACGATTATTTTAACCGGTCTTCGACCTCCCCTAGGTCGACTCAGCCTTAAATGAGTACCTGGTGCGGTGTGTAAACACCGCCACTGGGGAGACAAAGGCGGCCGGGCGTGGTGCTAGCCACCCGCCCCATCGTGTGCCACAGTGCCGGCCTTCATAGGTGCTCGCTAACAGAACTCGCCCCAATAGTCTGGTGAGGCTATACGGGGGATCTTTGTATTTGTGTGTATGGCTGTGTGTCTATGTCTGTACGTATGTAAGTGTGCCTGTGTGTGTAGAGTTAGGTGTATGTATGTCTGACTAGGTCTATGTCTGTGTATCTGTGTATATGTCTGTGTCTGTCTCTGTCTGTGTGTGTATGTGTGTGTATATGTCTGTGTGTCTGTCTGTCTGTGTGTGTGTCTATGTATGTGTGTATATGTCTGTGTGTCTGTCTGTCTGTGTGTGTCTATGTCTGTGTCTGTGTATATGTCTGTGTCTGTCTGTCTGTGTCTGTGTCTATGTATGTGTGTATATGTCTGTGTGTCTGTCTGTCTGTGTCTATCTATGTGTCTGTGTATGTCTGTGTGTCTGTCTGTGTGTCTGTGTGTGTGTCTATGTATGTGTGTATATGTCTGTGTATTTGTGTATATGTCTGTGTATATGTCTGTCTGTGTGTCTATATCTGTGTGTGTCTATGTCTGTGTGTGTGTGTCGGGTTCTGTGCCTTACCTCGCTATCCGTGCCAAAAGAATCGTCGCCCTCTCCGTCAGCCCTCCTCTCTAGCTCCCATCGCGGTCACGTGGGCACCAGCCCAGCCCACCACATCCAGTATCCCCCCCACCCCCAACTTCTCACCGTCTCTCTCTGTGTGTCTCTCTCCGTGTCTTTCTCTCTGTGTGTGTCTCTATCCGTCTGTGTCTTTGTTCCGGTCCGTCTGTGTTTGTCTTCGTCTCCGTCTTCCTCTCTCTCTCTCTCCCTGCTCTCTGCGAGTGAGTGAGGATCTCTATTGGGATATTTACGGATTTGTGTTTGTGTGTGTGTCTGTGTGTGTGTGTGTCTGTGTGTCTGTGTGTGTGTCTGTGTGTGTGTCTGTGTGTGTGTCTGTGTGTGTCTGTGTGTCTGTCTGTGTTTGTGTCTGTGTCTGTATGTCTGTGTGTGTGTCTGTGTCAGTGTGTGTCTGTCTGTGTGTCTGTCTGTGTGTCTGTCTGTGTATGTGTGTGTGTCTGTGTCTATGTGTGAGTGTGCGAGTGTCTGTGTGTGTGTGTGTAACTGTGTGTGTGTGTGAGGATCTCTATGAGTGAGTGACACTGAGTGATTGAGTGACTGAGTGAGTGACACTGAGTGACTATGGGTGACTATGGGTGACTATGGGTGAGTGATCTCTATGGGTGAGTGAGTGACTATGGGTGACTATGGGTGAGTGATCTCTATGGGTGCTGCCGCCTCTGCCCGTCTCTGGTATCCCCGCTATGCCCACTGCTGCTGCTGCTGCTTCTATCTTGGGCCGATCAGATTCGTTACAGATCTTAGGTTTCCCTGGGGGTGGAGGAAGGGGGGGGGTGAGGGGGGGGGGGTGGAGGAAGGGGGGTGGAGGAAGGGGGGTAGAGGGGGGGGGTGGAGGGGGGGTCGAGGGGGTCTCTGAACCCCGGGGAATGCCACGCGGGGCGTCATCCGCGCGCATTTACACCACAAAGACAAAGGTGCCCCGGGGGTGGCCTCTAGCTGGACCGCAGAGGCAAGTGCTGCTACTCGCTGGCAGCAGCAGCGTGTGAAGGCTGCCACTGGTGGCGCGCACAGACGGGTGGCCAGCACCAACACGCCCGGCTGCCTTTGTCTCCCCATAGACAGATACACTTAACACACGGACATATCCCCTGTATAGCCTTGACAGACTAAGGGGCAAGTGTTACCGGCGCTGTGGCACAGGAGGTGTGCCAGTGTGCCTTGTCTCTCACCAGTGCTAGCGATGTTGAATGCACAGCACCGCTACACCAGCTGCTCACTTGAGGCCGAGTCGACCTAGGGCAGGCCCGGTACAGATACATCGCTATCGCTGGTGGTGTTTTAAGCCACAGTTTTTAAAAACACACCTGCTCATACACCGGGTTGTAACCTAAACATCGAACGCATTTCGCCATCACCGTGTCCCTCGGAATTGCCTCGTTTTGAATGGAGGCCATTGGACATGCGGATTCCAAATCGTAACAATGGCGGGGAAACGAGGCTGGACTTTTGGGGGGGGGGGGGGTGAGAGAAGGGAGACGATGATTGGCCGAGGGGGGAATGGGGGCAGGTTAGCGAACCTTTGAGAATAGAGGGGGGGAAAGGGGGGGCCGCGAGGGCTATAAAAAGGGGGGAGAGCACGAGGCGAAGGGACACTTGGGAGGTCGAAGTTCAAGTATCAAGAACCAAAGTGTCTCGGCCTCGCTGTGCGCTGCACCGCTAGGCGAGTAGTTAAGCTCACATCCGATAAACCCCTCAGAGCTAGAGCTGAACACATCCGACTCCAAACGTCATTTATTGATTTGAACGAGGTAAATAGACACTTCTTAAAATCCCACAATGGACAATTATAGCCATCTTCACGGAGGCGATGTGTGCCGCCATCTTGAATTCTGTGTAATGGTGGAACCCCAGCCTCGTGGTCAATCGGAACTTCCTGGTCGTGACCAAACGCCGCATCAAACAGGAAATTCCGCTTCTTCTTGGTTCTTTCGGTAAAGTCGAAGGGAAATAAAACAATAAAAAAACATAAAATACAATTCTCACGACGTTTCGGCCACAATGCAAGCAGCCGTCCTCGGGTGAAGAACAGGGCTGTCGGAAAGACGGCGTCTGAATGAACACCACCAAGCTTGGCAGCGTATATTTAAGCAGGGGTTAGAGGCGCGCGCCTTGACAAAGGAATTTAGCAGGAAATTCCTGTGTAAACACGCCCCCCACGGAGCAAAACACCTGCCCGTGAGGCAGAACACAAAGCCTGGACCACAGGAAGTGCGTTGTGCCCTCAAAATAAAAAAGTTTGAGTATGCCAAGCAAGGAATGTGCTCGCATTAAAGGTTTCTTGTGTCTGTAGCCCCTCCACCGCCCGACGTGGCCAGTAAGGTTCCTCGGGTAAAACATTGCTCCAATTGGTTACTCGTGTATAGTGGTGGAGTGTATAGTCGTGTGTAGAAGATTGTGCCGAGGCGGCTCGTGGGGGACCGAGGGGCCATGCACACGACGATGGGAATTCGCAAACCGGGAAAGATTGAAAGAAATGAATAAAAAGTCTAGCATTTTATTATTTCATACAATGTCATCTTTTTACCCGCCAATCCCCAAAAACACCCATAAAATAAAACTCTTTTCTGAACGCAATTTAGGCAAACTTAAACACAGTTTGGAATATTTAAAATATATGTGTAGCAACTCTCGAACGCCAATCGCGGATCTGTCCGGCTTCTAAAACGCGATGTTAATCAAATCAACGCACGCATTAATCTGCAGACGAGGGGGTGAGTAAGTGCAGAGCCCAACACCGCATCCAAATCGTCACTACAAAAGAACACCGTGAGTGTGGTGGTTCAGTGTGTAAACATGCTTATCAAAGTGCCAACATTAAAACAGATATAAAGCATAAAACTACTGTAAAAAAATACATAAACTATTCATGGTAAGGCAACACGGATATAATCACAACTATCGCCAGCCCTCACACACGTCGAATGTTCTTAAATAAGAGCTATTGGACGTTTTTATTAAAGTAGAATATATTTTTAAGATTGGTTGATTATCCATTCCTGGAATGTAATGCTTTCACGTACGAGTTGAACCTAACGGCTTAAAAACCTCACGCCCGGAGTAGTTAAAGGACATTTCAAACTATTTTTAAAAAGACACGAAGCCGAAAGTTATCCCCCCCCCCCACCCCGACTTCCAAATGTGGCTCAAATTTATTTTTTATATTACTTTTTTATTATGGCCCAGGGTTCAATAATTTAATATCTTGGCAGTGCAATATGGCACTCGGCTACACGAGCCACGCCCCCCACTCAGGCCCCGCCCCCATCCCACAAGCCACGCCCCCACATGCCCCGCCCCCATCGCACGAGCCACGCCCCCACAGGCCCCGCCCCCATCGCACGAGCCACGCCCCCCACCCGGGCCCCACTCCCACGTGGAGCAGTGCCGTGGAGGAGCAGCAGCAACTCCAGATTCACATCGAGGGTCCGCGGGTTGCCCTGGGGAATGGACCGCACCGTTAGTACGGTTGGCTTACGTACGGTGCCAAAGCCGTTCACAACTTGCAAATCGGCATCTGTACGCACGCATACGATGGGCAGCAACCACGAGTTCCCCCCCGTAAAACGCCTCCAACGGATTGTTGGGGCGAGCGCAGTTAGCAGCGACTATCAGCACCGATGAAGGCCGGGCACTGTGGCACACAAGGGCCGTGGGTGGCCAGCACAATCCCCGGCCGCCTTTGTCTCCCCCAGTGGCGATGTTTTGTACACTGCCCCAGGTACCCATTGGAGGCAGAGGCGACCTGAGGGGGGTGGGGGGGGCCAGGACCGATTGAGATAAATCACGAGCGGCGTTGGTCGTGAACGGGAACAGACCTCGGGTCTCCAGCACTGGACAGCGCCAACCGCTGCATCACCACTCCATCAAAAGACAAAGATTACCCGTATAGCCCGAACAGACTGTTGGGGCAAGCGCCGTTATAGCGACTAGCACCTATGAAGGCCAGAACGGCACACGATGGGGTGGGTGGCCAACACCACACCCGGCCGCCTTTGTCTCCCCATTTGCAATTTTTTTACGCATCACACCAGGTACTCAAATTGAGGCCGAGCCGACCTAGGGGAGGAGGTCCAGGACCGGTTCAGATAATCGTCACCTGGTGGTGTTTGGCCATGAGCGCGAATCAAACTCGGTTCACCAGGTTCATAGCACAGCGTAGTGCTAACCACTACACCACCACTCCTCACGCACACACAACTACAGATGAACGCACCCGGGGCGACGTTCAGCAGAAGTAGACGGGGTTGCAGGCGTCGACCGCCAGGGGTCTCCAGCCGGTGGCCGCGGCCTTGCTGAGGGTGGCCGGGTTGACCCAGTGGAAGCGGTCGGCCCCTCGACCCGCACGTGCCCTCCTGCCGCCACCGCCACTCCGGTAGTCGTCGTAGGGACGCGGTCGCTCCGCGCGACGCCGCAGAGGCAGGCAGAGGTGGGGGGCCGCCTTGCCCGGGAAGCCGCGCGGAGTGCGGGCGGCCAGGGTGGAAGGATGACGCGGGGGAGGAGGAGGATGGGGAGGCAGAGACAGCGCCGTGAAGCACGCGGTGGAGGAGGGGAACAGCAGCAGAGAGGGGTCCGTGCGGGAGCATCCCCACTCCGGTGCGGCGGCAGAAGATGAGGCGGAGGACGACAGCGACGACGACGACACCGACGATGGCACCGATGCGGAGAAGGCGCGGCCTTGCTGCTGCACCTGAACATGGTGGGTGGGGGGTGGAGGTTAGAGGGGAGCGTGCGGGATCACATTAAGTGAACGGATTGCCACGTACGCGCAACTCCAGACGCATTAAAAAGTGGAAACAATTGCAATTTGTAAAAAACGTTAGCAGTATGGGACTTTTTTTTTGGCAGTGCTATCAAAACCAAAAAAAGACGTTCAACCTCGGCTGGCAATAAAACGTCAAATAGAGAACTCTTGGAAAGGCATCAAAGTCTGCATCAACCACACGCACCTGGTGACAAAACGTTATCAGAGCGCTAGGAGGTGTTTTTTGGGGCGAGATCGACACGCAAATATCAGTGTCGTCAAACCCGCCACCACTCAGACAGACAATTAGCGAGGGGTTTGTCACATGAACAAAACGTGCCATTTTAGTTACTAGTTCATTTTGATTTAAAGCTTTCGTGACTGCAGGGATTCATATTCTTGGTTCTTTCAGTAAAGTCACGTAGAAGGGAAATAAAATGAAAATAAACCATAATAAAATTCTCACGACGTTTCGGCCACAACGCAAGCAGCCGTCCTCAGGTGTAGAAACAGAGCTATCGGAAAGACATCGTCCTAATGAACACTGCTAAGCTGGGCAGCGTATTTTAAACTGGGTGGGAGGAGCAGAGTGCCTTGACAAAGGAGTTAACAGAGGAATTTAGCATGTTGATGATAAATGCAGATATGGGGTTAGTCACTCCTTGTGGAATGTGTAGGCGGTGGGGGGGGGGTCTTCAAAGTCATATTATGCAGGATTAGCTATATTAGTTCATACCGGCGTGTTGCAGAGTAAGCCCACCACATTCACAATTAGAGTAAAACGTTACATTTATATTCACGCGATCAAACCCGAAAGGACTTCTATTGGTGGGATATTGTTCACGAAGGCCTCCCGCGTGTTCAATTATCAGAGCTCGTGTGTTTGCGTGCTTTGGCCACAAGCACGTGCGGTCAATGTCGACTTT